TCTCCAGCAGCCAACACTCAGATAAGCAGGGATTAACGATATTCTAATTTTTCAAGTTTCACCTGTAAAATTATGCATGGCAAAGACATGGTGTACATGGAGAAGTTTTTCTCCATCTCCCATAAAACTAGAACTGCAGGACACCCAAATATATTGACCAGTAAAAAATTTAAAAGTGGAAAGAGAATGTGTTTCTTCATGAAGCAGATAATCAACCTGTGGAAGATGATGGCACAATATGTGGCGTTCACTGCTAGTTCAGAGGGCTTTAAAGGAGACTACACCAATTCCTAGAAGACAGGACTACTGATGGTAACAAGCCTTGGACACAGGATGCTGTCTGCAAGAATGGGGACAGTCCACCTCTACAAAGCAACAGTAGGAGACAACATCTACCTTGCTCTCTTTTTAGTGGGCTTCCTAGATGCATCTGGTGGGCCACTGTGTGAAAGAAAATGTTGCCCAGATGAACTCAGACCTGATCTAGCCATGATATTCCCATTTTCTCATCAGGCCTTGATCCCACGATCAGCTGCTTCATAAAATCAGAGACCTAAGCTTTGAAAGATTTGAATATATGTTTAAAAGTAATCTAATTAACAACTCTTTAGTGCTGGGGGGACTGCACTGTGAAGCTAGAATGATGCATTCTCCTAATTCTCCATGCATTGACTGATTATGTGCCATGAAGACAACGTTGAGTATTACTGACCACATATATAGATCCCTCCTGCCCCGGCCATTTGTATCCTCATCCAAAGATCTGGGCTGCATACATTCCCTCAGGGGGAGGAGGAGGAAGAATAGGAGAAGTGTTTTCTTCAACTCTTTCTCTGAACTCCCTTTTAATCTCTCACTTCATGAAGTTTATTTACTTAGGCTCTCCATCTGACATTCACTTTATCTATCCTCTCGCTGAATATCACTTTATCTCCCATCCCTCATCATACTCCTTTCCCTTCCAGTTCTCATGGCTGCAACTTCTATCACAAGGTAGGGAAACCAGTGACTCATAGGAGTAGGGGAGGGAAAGAAAAACAAGTGTTGGCAAGTCCCCTCACTTCTGTTATGTCAACAAAGAGGGAGCGGGGAAAGCTGCATTTCTCTCAGCTCCAAATCCCAACCAATATTCCAGTGCAATGGGAGGACTTGCAGCTGGCCCATGAAGACAACTAACAATTGGCTGCCCTAACACACTCCTCCTGACATTCCCATCCTCAGAAGCAGATTGAACTTGGTGAAATAGCCACAAACAGTGCAAGCAACACAGTCCTAAATTACATGTGCTTTATCCTATGACAGGTAGGTTGAATCAGGGCACGTGGGGGCTTTCAGGAACCCTTCAGAGTCTCATTAAGAGTCCTTTTAAACATGGAGCAATGGTTCCCAGGTAGAAGGCAGACTTTACAACTCAAAGTCTCTCCAAGGATCCGTTGCAGCACTGAGGCTGAAGGATAAAGCTAAATACTTATTTCTCCAGGAAATTGGAAAGTGTTTGAAAAAGGACTGTATGAATAGAAGACAGTGAGAAAGATGCTTTAGATGCCAGCCAACAGGCAGCAAATGTTTTTCAATAGCAGACAATTTCACGGCAGGGATTTACTTGGTGATACTGGGGAATATGGCTGATTCCAAATAGGAAATGAGCTCTCTTTGCCTTTATAGAAGAAGACAATGCTCTCAAGCTGGGTGATGGCGTTTCCCTGGCTGGTTTCTCTGAGGACTTTCTCCATAGCACAAGATTCAGCCCTGGAAGAAGTCTGGAGAGACTGGAAGAGGACCTACGGTAAAGTATACTCTGAAGTGAGTTGCTTTGGTCCCAAAGAGACGAGTGTCTAATTTATGTCTCAGCAATTCTAAGGCACCAGAAGCTTAGTGCTTCTGAGATCATGCAGGCTACTACTCTTGAAGACACTTCTGTTTTAAGAATCTGAGTGATTTGGGACAGGAACTAGTTTTTTTTTTTTTTTAAGCATTTTATTTCCTATGGTACCCAGACAGATGTTTCAGAGGTGCAAGCTAGCTCTTTGAAGGACTTTGGCTGCTACCTTTTCCAGACTATTGTGGGCTTACAATTCTGTTTTAATCCATGCTGTTTTGGCTCCAACCTGCAGAGGACAGAGATGTTGGAACTCTTGCAATACCTACAACCTGATGAACGTAGCATGGGGAAACACCCAGCGTGTACTCAGAGGCATTCTACTCTCCGGCTAGAAATTAGTGCCAGCATATTTCTGGGCAGCCACCTTACCCCCATCAGATCCATTTTGTGGACCTCGGATATAAGCTGTCCTTCAGTTCACAAATGATGTTTTGAGGTAGGCAGGGATACATCACACCTATTCTTGGCTTCCTTGTAGGAGGAAGAGCCTTTCCGGAGAGTCACATGGGAGAAGAATCTGCAGTTGATTGAGCAGCACAACCGTGAGGCTGTTGAGGGGAAACAAACCTATTGGATGAGCATGAACCAGTTTGGCGATTTGGTAAGCAAACTCAAGAGCATCGATAGGCACACCACAGATTCGGAGCCCAGGCTTGTTGGAGAAAAATCTTCAAAAGCTAATGCACATGCATCCATTACAATTTAGAAACAGGGCCTTTTCCCGCTGGTGAACTGAAGGGATCTCCTCCCACTCTTGACTTGGCAGATAAGCGTACAGGGTAAAATTTGCAGCTCCTTGTCCTACCTTTTTTGACTGTCTGCGCTGAATAGGGTTTTCCTGATTTTGCACCTGCAGCATGTGACAAGTCAGGCGATTGATTTGAACCCTCTGGCTTTGTTGTTCTCCCTCCTTTGCATATCACCAGCCAGAAGCGAACAGATTTCCCAACGATATTTCAGCAAGATTAGGAGGGGCTTGGCTGCAGGCTTCCTCTGCCTCTTCTAGCCTCCTTTCTTTGCTCCTTTTCCTACACTCCATTCTGTCATAACCCAAGTTGAATTGTTTTCTTTTTAAATGGGAATCATGAAGGGAGCTGAATCCCAAGTTTTATGTAGCATTTCCTTTCCTTCCTTATTTACTTATTAAAGTCTTGCATTTATCTGGAGCTCAAAGCACTCCCTCCTTCTATTTTCCCCCACAACGATCCCATAATGTAGGTCAGGCTGAGTGATTGGCACAAGATCATCCAGGGAGCTACAAATACCAATTTCCAGATTCCTCTATGCTATTTTTGGGAGACAACTGGCAGGGATGTGCATGGGTCCAGCTTTTCATTATTTCAGCCCTGAACTTCCATCCTGTTACCTGAGCAGTCTAGCTCCATTTTACAATTCTGCTAGACTGCTGGCACACACAAGTTTTGGGGAGACAACATCAAAGTATCAGGATGCAATAATGATCAGAGGGGAGGAATGTACCCACATCAGCCTGAAACGGCTAATAAGCATCCCTCTGATCACCCTCACTATCCACTCTGTAAAGCAAAGGGTAATGACATCAGAAATCTGTAAAGAAGCAAATAAAATAGGCCTGAAGATTACTTTTACTAGGCGTCTGGGACCATGTCTTGTAAAGAAACATTTGCCATTTCCTAGATTCAGCTAGCCAGACATCATCTGCTGGAGGTTGAGATAGGAACGATTAGAGGAGTCTGAAGGGATCAGGCAAATATGCCACAAGTATATCTCCTTTTAAGCAAACGGAGATGTGGTAACTCTGCTCTTCTCTCAGACCAATGAAGAACTTAACCGCACGATGGGCAGCTTTCATCCTGATTCCGTTGATCCACACAATGCTTCTGAAGACTTTTCCCAAGCACCAGCCATTCAGCAGATGCCCAAGCCCGTGAAACGGCGCCACAGACATTATGGCACTTCAAGAAAAGACCAGGTGAGTCCTGAACAGTCTGGATAGATAGCTCACGCTAAGCCAAAGATTAATGACCCCCGCAGACACTTCCCTTAATGCAAAGAATCCCTGCCTCCATTTTGAACAGGCTCCAATCCTGCACTCATGTTTTTGCCCAACTGCTCTCAGTCCAGTGTTAACACAAATCACTTGCCTGCTTTGGTCCTCTTTTTGGAGTAACGCACTTCACCTCTGTTGCTCAAGTGGTCATTCTAATGCCCTTGGGCATGGCAGATATGGGAGATGACATACTTGTTCTGTTTAAACCCACTCCAGGCTCTGCTCTCCAAGCCACACATTTTAAGCTCAGATAATTCCATACCACATTCTCTTTTTAATTGTAGCAGCTGATGGAGAGAGTATATACACACTTTATAGCCATTCTGGGTCTCAGTTTATTTCCTCTCCTTTAATCTAATGGCTCCACTGGCAAGTCTAAATCACTACAGGATGATTATTATTTTAACAGCTGGCTCTCGCCTACACCAGAAAACTGGGCAAGCAGCGTTCTGAAAATTTTGCAAAGCTTTGTCTAATATCCAGCAACGGAACCAAGAAGCTGTTAGGACGGAGGTGCGGGTGTATAAGCCGTTATCGTCGTCGTTGCCAGAAGTGTTGCAAGCTTGCTTAGTAGAGTCAGGCAAGGCTGTGCCTCAGGATCACTCACAATAATGTAGCAGGATTAAAAGAATCTAGATTCCCCCAGGGCCAGAGCTGCCTCTTGCTTTTTTGCTCTAGTACTTAGTTTCCTAGTAGGTCTGGCATGTTGTCTAACCTTTTTTAATATATTAACAAGCCCATCAGAAAAATGGTAAATACAGAACCAAATGTTTAGTAAGACAAGGGGAAAATAGCCTGAAGGCAGGACTTTGGGAGGTATCTGTAGGCATCCCGCTCCCCCCTTTGTGGTCTGTTTATTAACAATCTTTCTTGTTAATAAAAAGGCATTTTGGACTACAGCTTCCTTTTGCCGTCTCTGAGAAAGCAGATAAGACGTTCTTTTGACTATGCCTTGTTGTAGATTTCAGTCTAGACTTAACCTCAAATTATTTTCTTACTTCAGGCTATTATATTTGGTTCCTAAACCTTTGATATTAGGATTTGTTTTTTTAAGCTTTAGTTCATTGCTTGTATTATATTTTTTAATGGAAATTCAATCTTTGTTTCAAATCTCTTCTGTATTATTCTATCTGGATCTTCCTAGACATCTCTGGATTGACCTTTTCCAACTTCCATCCTCATATATTGGACTTTCTCCAAATTTTGTAATGGATTAGCTACTCTAAGTTTTGATTTAATTCATTTGGGCTACTCTGCTGTAAAACCAAATTTGAGAGGGAACCAGACTTAACAAATAGTACTGGTATTATGTAGCAGTACAATAGTTTCAGATAATAAAAAAAAATTGCTGATTTTGCTTGTCATAATTATTACATATAGACAATTCATTTCATGGTTACTATTACTTTTTTCCTTATAAAAAATAAGTTTATTAGATCTATGAAGCAATCTGAATATAAAAGGCAAACTGTGATTTGGAAAGTGCATGGGTGTGCACACAGCACATATTGGGAATACCTTACCAAACACATCTTTTCCTGGAATTGTGTGCATAGCTGCACAATCCCAGGAAAAGACACAGCTGCATTAGGGTTGTGTGTATATCTGTGCACACACTGAATCATATTTTGCCTTTTGAACCTGGGGTGTTACACAATCCTATATAGTTTATTACGATGCTGTAATTTTTGCAGGGTAAAACCTTACTTTGGATTATGTAGAGTGCTTTTGCTTTTCTCCCACCTGAATTTCACTTGTGTATAATTATAATGGACAGATCTTAATGGAGAAAATATATCTATGTGGTTGTTAAGAGTCGACACCGACTTGATGGCACATAGTTAATCGCTCATTATAGTTTTACCTGTAATATTTTTGTGCAACATCTTGTTTTTCATAAATGGGAATGCATTTTTTGCTTTGAATTTTGAAATAAATGTTTGAAATGGTACACTTGTTCCAACAGTCATATTCTCTTGCTTACAGGAATTAGGAAGCTAATTTTCAAACTACCAGAGATCCACCTATTTATTCATTGCATTTATTTGAGATGCCTTTCTCAAGGCAAATTACATGGAAGGTCTTCCATAGTTTTTTTCTCATAAAAGCAAGCCTGTGTGGTAAACTGGACTGAAAGAAACTGACCAAAGACCATTCAGTGAGCTGTTCAGTCAAATGGGAAACCAAATCTAACTGAAATCCAGCACCATAACAACCGACACTTCCCTACACAACATACAAATTCCTGCTTTCCACAGACAAGACAGGACTGTCTTCTTCTTGTTGCTCCTTTCCAGCAGCTGGCAATCAGAGGCAGACTATCTGAACAGTCTTACCTTTTACTGAAAGTTGGAAAGTGCTTGTCATAAGAGAACGAGTCGACAATGACTTGATGGCACATAATCAATTAAAAAAATAATTTAGTTAAGTAACATTAAGTCATACCATTTAGCTTTGTACATTTCTTTGATAAGTTAGGCTAATTCATACTTACATTTGTAGTTTTGTAATGAATCAATTTTGTTGTGAATATATCAATGTATCATCATCAATATTCAGAAAAATATAAGGCACTCGTAATTATTTTCTAAGTTGAGGTTTGGGTGAAAGCCAGAGCTGAACAGAAGTTAAGACAAAAACTACTTAGATTTCCATAGCAGCAACTCAAAATAACATCTCAGAAGGAAATGCCAAACCCTTTCTGTATTATGCCAAGAAAACTGCATGGATGTGTCTGTTAGTCAAAAGGAATCAAGTTTAACTTCAAAGCAGGTTTTACAGTACAACTAGATTCAATTAATTTAGCTTCTTTGAAATCGTGGAGTCCTTGGGGTTTTCTGAGCTTGGTTCTTTTCTTGCAAACGTTTCATTACCCGGCTAGGTAACATCTTCAGTGCTAAAATGGG